GATTTCTCGCTTTCTGTCTGTCTCTCTCTCTCTCTCTCTCTGGCAAGCACACATGCTTTATGGCAAAAATCTCTCAAAAAGAAAAGAAAGCAATATAACATCTATACACATTCAATCTCATTTTATCTCAAAATAACTGAGACAGGCAAGGAGAGAATGAAGGAAAAGGTCATTTTCTGACTAAGTGCCAGGCAGTTAACTCCCTCTGAGGCTGCACTGTCAGCTTCCTACATTAATGAGGATACTCCAAGGATCGGAGATTCAGTCCTGGTGTGGGCTGAGGGGCTTACCGGGCTAGGCGGTGTCAGGGCTGGGACCCCACCACAGACCTGCTGGATCCTGAAACATGTGTTCTTTCTAGAATGACCTCTCTGCTTCCAATGTCCAACAACTTCATGATGAGGGCAGGGCAAGCACTGATACCCCCATTGTGCAGATGAATTACCCAGGTTCAGAAACATACGACAAGCTCCCGAGTTCATACAAACAACTAACAAGTGACAAGAATAAGTATAGCCCCAGGGTTCTAATTTTACACTCTTTACTCTTCCCATCAAGCTATATATTTTATAAATTTAAGAAACAAAAACACTTGGAAAGAAAATGAGTAAAAAGATGTGTGTGTGTGTCTGTGTGTGTGTGTGTGTGTGTGCCATAGGGTGCATGTGCTTGCTGTAGAGGGGGAGACAGAAAATGAAAAATCACTGGAGCCAGCAGATAGTGTAATGGTTACATCACTGGACTCCCACATAGTCGACCAGGGTTTGAGTCCTGGATCCAGCCACTTAAACTCATGCCAGGCATGTGTGTGTGCAAGCCCAAGATCCCAAGAGGAGAATGGAGAAGGGATTGCAGCATGGCCATCCCCCCATGGGATGGTTTCTTGCTTTCTATCTGTTTCTATGTGTTTCCAGTGAGCACATGTGCTCTATAGCAAAAAAGAATCTCTCTAAAAGAAAATAAACAAACACATAAATAAACAAATAAATAAAGGCAAAGAAGAAATCACTCCCCCTAACCAGAGGGATCGACATGCTGCAATCCCTTCTCTCCCATTCTCCTCTCATGATTTTGGGCACACACGCACACATGCCTTGTGTGATTTTCAAGCTGCCTTGTCCGGGACTCTAACCACACAGTCAGTCATGTGAGATCCAGCACCTTAACTACCATGCCAGCTGCTGGCCCTAAAATGGGCATTTACAACTTTTTCAATTGTATTTATTTGCTCAATTATGAGCTTACCTAGTTATTTAACTTATAAATGAGAAATTCATCTTTACAGTATAAAATGATTTCAGTAACCCTATCGTTTCCAGACTTGTTTTTTTTTTTTTTTTTTAAAAAAAAACATTTATTTCTTCTACAAGAGACAGAAACAGAAACACAGAGAGGAAGGTACCCTCAGCAGGGTGGCCCCACAGGACCCACCCTCGGCCTCAGCCATCCCAGACCACAGGCATGCTCAAGCATACTTTCCTGGTGCATACAGGAAGGCCTTGGGCCACAAACCTGGAACCTTCCCATGTGGCCCTCTTTGTCTAAACTTGTTTTTCATTGCCAGAGGGCACAAGCACTCAACAGAGAGAGACAAAGAAAGGAGGAAGAAACAAAGCAGCCTAATGGGGCATGGTCACACCACAGTCCCTTTTCCATCCCAGGATTTGGGGTATGCGCACACATGCACATGACTGCCATGGATTCTGAACTATGGTGGGTCATGTGGGGTCCAGCTCTCAATGCACAGTGCTGAACCACTGTGCTACAGTGTCAGCCCTGTTTCTGGACTTTTCATTGGGCCAGCCAGGTGGCATAGAGGCATGGTGGGTAAGGCAGCTGGACCTCACATGGCCACCTGTGTGGTTTGAGTCCTGGCTCTCATAGCTTGAAAAATATGCCACGCACATGTGCATGGCTGCGTAAAAATCCCAAGAGGGGGATGCAAAAGAAAAGATTGGGGTGTGGTCAACCCCCTTGTGGGCATGCCTTCTTTCTCTTTCTCTTTCTCTCTCTTGCTCTTTCTTTCTCTTTTAAAAATTTTATTAAAGTGAAAATGACATACAGTGAAGTGCACTGTAAACATCTTAAGAGTATAGTTTAATTAATTTTCATATATGCATATACCCAAGTAACCACCACCCAGACAAAAAGTTTCTGGACATTTATGGAGCAACACTATTAAATTTTAAGTCCAGGTACAAGCCACGAGTCTTGACAACCCATGTACACCAAGACATTTCAAAGAAAATTTTAAAAGAATTATTCAATTTTATTTATTTAATTTTCAATTTGCTATAGGGCACATACACTCACCAGAGAGGAAGGGAAGGAGGGAGAGAGGGAGAGGAAAGGAGAGAGAGAAAATGAGAGAAAGTGAGAAAGCAAGCCACTAGGTCTGGGACTCAAACTATAATTGGCCATGAGGGAGTCCAGTGCCTCAACCACCATGCCACCTGCTAACCTCCCAAGAAAGAAAATTTTATGACACAAACTGAATGAACTAAGATTATATAAATGTCTAATTTTTTTTGAGAAATTTTTGCTATAGGGAGTGTGCACTCACCAGAGAGGCAGAGAGATGAAAGACAGAAATCACTCCCCAGGGTAGATGGCCACTCTGCGATCCCTTCTACTCCATTCTCCTCTCAGGATCTTGGGCACACACGTATGTGTGCCTAGCATGAGTTTTAAGCCACCGGGTAAGGGACTTGAACAGCAGTTGACTACATGGGAGTCCAGCAACATAGCCATTACCCCACCTGCTAGTTCCGTCCTGCATTTGTTCAATGAACACTTACTGAGCAATCGCGGTGACGGGGGTAGCAGTAGGACAGACATAATTCAAACCGTCTTGTATTCCTACTACTTCTGACACTGAATATGTATTTTTGCGTTTTTTTTATTTTTCATTCCTTCACATCGATCAATTCTTCAACTCTCCAGATACCAAGTAGATGCCCCACAACTCAATTCTGGCACTATGTTCCTGAACTTAAGAGTTCCCAAGCCAGGGAACCAGCAGTTAGCATAATGGCTATGTCGCCGGACTCCCACGTAGTCGACCTAGGTTCGCGTCCCGGACTCGGTGGCTTAAAACTCACGCCAGGCGCGTGTGCATGCATGCCCAAGATCCCGAGAGGAGAATGGAGGAGAAGGGATTGCGGCATGACCATCCCCCCTGGGGGGTGATTTCTCACTTTCTGTCTCTATGTCTCTGTCTGCCTGGCGAGCACACGCGCCCTATAGCGAAAACCTCTCCAAAAAAAAGATAAAAAAAGAGTTCTCCAGGCCAGCAGGAGGGATGGAAGTTAAGGTGGCTGAATCCCACATGGCTGTGCGGTTCGAGTCCCAGAACTTGTGGCTTGAAAATCATACCAGATACATGTGTTTGCCTAAAATCACAAGAGGAAAATGGAGGGGAAGGGACTAAACCATGGCCATCCCCCCGAAGGGTGTTCTCTCTCTCTCTGGCAATCACATGTGCCCTATAGCAAAAACAAAAAAACAAAAAAACAAAAACAAAACAAAACAAAACAAAACAAAAAAAGAGTTAGTTCCCAAGGCTAAGAGCTCAGCTCCACAACTCCAAGTCCAGGGCCCACAGACATCAGATCCACCAGAGAGGGCGGTTCTCACAGTCCCCTCCTCTGGTTTGGTAACTTGTGAGAAAGCCTTGCAAATCTTAGGAAGACACTGTATTTACTGGGAAGTCAGAAAAGTCATGACATTCTTCTACA